GATCTTATGCTTTCAGTTCTGCAATTATGTTTGCTGTCACCATAGTGTGTCATTTCTGTTTACAAACACATTTCAACACAGCTGGTGTTCCAACAATGTTTTAATTTTTCGGTCTTTGAACAGCATCTATGTATTTGGTTCCACGAAAAAAGCAAGGAAGTGATATGTTGTGTTACAAAAGCAACATTGAAGCAAGATCTGTTCAAGAACTTTTGAAGAAATATTTGATCATAGGAAACATTTTTGTGTTCTGATCAAATTATTTATGAGTATTTGCCAAGCATGTTAGATTTTCCTGCTGCTGTAAGTTCAAAGTAGATAATAGAGGTTCCATTCGAGGGACCCTAGGCAAAGCATGAGCTGGTAATGTTTAAATTGTTTTTTTCCTTTTTGCTTAAGGATTGCAACACTTTATTTTTATGCTCTTATGTATTTAGGGCATCTTGTTCTTTGATGTCACAGAATTCATTTAGGAATAAAACTAAAGTGAGATTTACTGAGTCAAATTCATAAATATTATATAAAACACAGTTTAGAAAATAAAGTGTTTAATGCATTTCAGATTTCTTCCAAACAATTTTAGTAGATGTACTTCCTGGTACCAAAGAGGGCATATTTTGTGTTGATTATAACTGTTCAACAAATTGTGTTGATTATACTTATGTAACAAATCAAATTAGCAGAATTGGTTGATAATAAATCATTAGGGCTGCTTTCACATCATATTAAGGGCCTGATATTTAAAAAACCTGATAGTGTGTGCTGATCTTCTAACCAAGCACACATTTTAGTGTGCTTGGAATGAGCAGAGCAATTAGCGAAAGCTTTTTAGCCTGATAGTCTTTATACAATTTTGAACATATGCAGATGACAAAAAATGCTAATTACTTGCAGGAGGATAAAAGATGTAAATGCCTGAGACCAGGAAATTGATTATTAAACCTGAAATGGATACTGGACACAGGTTTTAAAGTTAGCTGCACACTCCCATGCAAACGTGTCTGCAGGCATTATAGTGAGTAGAAAATGTGGCTTTTCTGTAATGCTTTTGAATTAATCGTTTCTTTAGCCTATCTTAGAAGTACTCATCCATCCATCTATCTTCTCCAGCTTATTCCATCAGGGTTGCGTTGGGTCCGGTCTGTGAGTGAGAGGCAGAGTACACACCCTGGACAGGTTGCTTGTCTGTCGCACGGCAAAATTTTTTTGCAGATCTCTGCCCAGGTCCCCCTTGAAAATGAGATCTAGATCTCAACAGGGTTTACCTGGTTAAATAAAGAAAAATGAAAGGAAAATGAACACAGAGACACACAAAGACATAAAACCATGCAAACACACACCTACACCTAAGGAGACTTTGGAGATGCCAGTCAACCTAACAGTCATGTTTTTGGAGTGTGGGAGGAAGCCAGGGACCCACACATGCATGCGGGGATCAGGCAAACTTCATTAAGAAAGACCCTTTTATGAACGGCAGCAGTGCTACCCACCACCCCAATGTGCAGTCCGAGAAGTAGTCCAACATAAAATTAGCCACTCGTTAGAAACCTGCTTTTTTTTTTTTTTTTTTTCATTCAGTTTTACCGACATGCAGTATATTGGCCCAGAGTTTTGGTCAAAAATTGGTTATTTTATGGTTGGGCTTTTCATTCAGAAATTAAAAAAATAGGACAGTTTGTGGACACACTTAAAAAAAGACATAAAATTAAACAACCTTAGAGAAAAACAGGAACATAAAAATTAGAGAACATGAGGAACGAATAAAATGTCCTTGGAAGAAAGACATAGATATGTAGGATTATTTTTTACATTAAGTGCAGCTTATGTCTGAGCAATCTATTAAAAAGGGTTGGCCTATTAGATTCTTAGCAAGGGGTGTTTGTGTGAATGTGAAGCTTGTCAGTATATCTGAGTGATTAGAGCATAAGCTGTGGATGTCCTTTACAAGGTCAACAAGTGAGACAGGTTGCTGATTTATCATGGGCAACTCGTCCTAGAATGTGCTTATTATTGTTGGAGATCAACGTGAGGTAAGCATTGTAGCTATGTAGGAATATGAATTTATTCATATTATTCCTAAAGGCTAACAACAGATTTGATATAATGATGTTTTAGGTTAAAGGTCCTATTCAATTTTCTCTTGGTAATAAATAAGTGATGTGCCACTTTGCATGTTACTATTGGTTGTAGTTGCTGGACAAATGAGGGGACACAATGGGATAAGAATAGAATGGGGAAGAGTGGATATAATCACTGCTTATGTTGTTTTTTTACTGCATGCATACTGGCATTAGAGATTTGTCTAATGTCCACCTTTTCCTGTTAATACAGATTTTTGTGTTCATCTGTTCTCCCAATTTCATATTAAAGGTATAGTGGAAGATTTTTCATGGATTTTTGAAAAGATCCACCCTCTCCACTTTTAACAAAAAATATGCACAACCCTGTACCTACTCTAGAGAGGGAACGCATATTAAGCGAGAGTATGCATGAGGCCGTTTCTCCTCATTTTACTGTTAGTGATGTGAAATGGATTTCTCAAAATAGCATGCCAAACTTTACCTGTCGAGTGGAAACTTCGCTACCAAGGCATCAGTGGGAAGCCCGACCTGTGCTTTCATTGTTCGTCATTGTGTGAAAGAATCCCCCCAAAACACTCTGGTCATATTTTTCCCCTTGATGCATTTCTTTTCTTCTCGTACACTACTTTAACCATTTTCAAAGAACCATGGTGAGAAAGGTGAGCTTCAAAGACTGGCTGAAACTGTAGCTCACATAAATATGCCTGAAATTGCGCCTGCGCAGAAACATATCACCGGAAAGATTGACAATTAGGAAAACCACTTAATTTGATGATCCACTGGGAAAGGAACATGCTCCCCTATACCTTTAATTTAAACCCCAGTTGGAGTTACAGCAGTTTTGACAATCGAAAAGAAAGTACTAATGTAGAAATACTACTAAAGATTTGTTTATGTATTTATACATAAACACATTCTTAAAATGTCAGTGCTTTCACTGAACAACTTGATTAGGGCTAGTTTAGAAAAATTATATTCTCATGTTGTATATAATCCTTTTTTTTTTATTTGCTTGGATTGTTCTATCTTTTTAAAGAGAAGTTGTTTTTTGCCACATGGATGGACGTGTTTCAGTCTCTCTCATACAAGTCCAGTGGTGTCAAAAGTACACATTTGTTCAACTTGACCTCTTTACTCAAGTAAAAGTGAAAAAGTATGTGCTCCAAAAACTACTTAAACTGCTATAAAGTAACCTTAAAAAAACAGCCAGATGCCACTATATGAACTGAAAGCTCAATTTTTCAATTTTTTTGAAAAATTCTTTGAGATAGGGCCAAGGATGAGGGAGGACTTGTTGGTCTCCATCTCCCGATACGCTCTCGCCTGTGTCCGACCTTTCAGACATTTCAACATCTTTTTCTGAATCCAACATTGTAGCATGGCATAGACAATTCACGTTTGCAGTTTGAAGAACACCTGCTTACTTTTGATTATAATTTTCTTCAGCTAACCAATGAGTGTTTGCATTATATGACTCATCCAATTACATTAGTTTTCACTAGGTGTGGATGGCGCCAGTGATCTGCATTGGATGGCGCACATGGCGTGAAATAAATATTTATAAACATAAAACCGAAGCTAAGAGTAATGAGTAACATTTGCTTTAAAAATGCAAGGAAAAGAAAGTACAGATATTGTGTGTAAAAAATGTAATGAGTAGAAGTCAGAAAAGATATATGGGAAGAAAAATAAGTAATAGAGTAAAGTATAGATACCTAAAAAGTTTACTTAAGTACAGTAACAAAGTATTTGTACTTCGTAACTTGACCTCTCTGTACATGTCCCATGCTTGCTCACAAATAGATGTGAGGAAGAATTTCCTGTCATGTCACAGCCCCTGCCTTCTGTCTTTTATATTGCCATGAGAACCATTGAGTCCTAACCCTACTGCTCAAATATGATTAATTCAGCGTTTCAACCAGTGACGGCCATGGAAAGATGGATTAGAGCAGAGCTGAGCATTAATCCTGTATTGTGGCAGTTTACAGGCTTCCTAAAGGCAGCTGGTGATAAATAAAACACCTCTGTCATCTTAAATGATGCTGAGTGGACACTTTGTTATCCATGAAGCAAGAGAAAAAGAACATTTTCTGTTCTGGATTGCCTAGGAAAACATTTATTTGGCTTTACGCATTGAAATGTTGAAATAGTTGTTCATAGCCTAGGAACAGCAGTTTGTGGTCTAATGACCACAAGAACCATATGGTTTTTATAGTGGTTGCCTCGCCATCCCCATAAGTGTAAAAGGTGTGGACGCTCAGACATCTGTTGTTTTGTCAATAAAGTTGGAAAAAATACACTCAGGTTTAGGAGCAACATATGCTCCATTCAGGCTCAGTTTTTGCCATTTAGATTTATTGTTTCAGTTTCTGAGTTACTGTTCCTTGTTATGACTTTCATCAAACTGACCTCTTAATAGTCTTTTTTTTTGTTGCCATTTTTCAACCACGTCTTATGAGTTGAGGAGGTGATGCAACATGGTGTTAAAAATTTCCTTAGATTGTTTGCATATTTTACAACCAGTGACTGTCATTATCATTGTCAGGTTACCAGAACAACTCGGGGAAGGGCAAAATTACTAATACCATTACAATGGAGAATGTTCCACAGTATATTAGAAATATTTGCTAAAGTTTTCAATTTTTAAATGAATTTTCTTAACTTTGAAGCAGGGTTTTGAGCTTATATGTTATTTATTTACAGTGTTGTCCTTTGGGTGATTTCCTATGTAGTTTTCTCTTTGATGTGGGACAAAACTTCCAGCGCTGGTGTTACAGGAACCTTTCCTTTTGATGTTCTCTGTTGTTGAAAAAAAAAAAAAGACAGTGTTTGTATCTGCTCACTTGAATGAACTCTGGGTCCTGTGAGGTCTTTTGGTAATTATATTTCCCCTCCTATTTCTGTTTTATCCACTTTCAGCCTCATCATGTTCACTGAAGCAAGATCATGACTTTACTCAACGAGTCAGTGAAGACCACCTCTCCCTCCCTTCCCCTCTCCTCCCTTAGGAACAATTTCTCAGCCTTTATCACACCTGACCTCTCTTATTCCCCTTCATCCTATCCCACATCCTCTTCCTCCCTGCTGACACCCTCCAACTGCACCAGCTCTCCAGCATCTTCCTCACCCCCGTACAACTTCTACGCCGTGCTGTTAGTCCTTCTCATCTTTTGTGTGGTGTTTGGGAATGTACTGGTATGTGTGGCTGTGTCTCGGGAGCGTGCTCTGCAGACCACCACCAACTACCTCATCGTCTCCCTGGCTGTATCTGATCTGCTGCTTGCAACGCTGGTCATGCCTTGGGGTGTCTACCTAGAGGTACAGTACAAGTGTGCATAATTCTGTTTCTTAGTCACACTGGTAAACAACCACTCTGACACAGAGATTAATACCACTGACTCTCCATAGGTTCAAAACAATGTATTGTTGGATGAAATGTAAAACAAATTAAAGTTTTTATTTCAAGCCATTGTTGGTGAAAGTTTAAAAGTATCACTTTTTGCAAGGCTCTGCATGTCCTCTCCTTAGTTTCCTCACTGTGAGAGAGGAGGAAAAAAAACATGCATTTATTATATTTGCATATCCGTCAATAGAAGTTATGTTTGTTGCTATTTATCCATAGTTTTGATTCCTCTCTCTTTGACTTGACTATTTTTGAAACTTCTCAACCACTTGTCATTGGTTTTAGTTTCTTAATCAGTGACAACAATGACTGGTTTGGGCATTAAGCCTTTTAAAAAGTCAGTCTGACTGACCAACTATGTTCATTTATATGAACAGAGATTACACCTGTACTTGTTTTCAAATATCACACCAAAGCATAAACATGCAGTTTCAGTCTTTGCTAATACTGATATTTAATTGGCAATGCATTGTGCGCTTATAGTCAGACAAAAATGAAGGAAGTTTACTAGAAGAATAATAGATTCGATAGGTACATTTGATTCTTTTCAAGGAATTAAAACATATTACTCGTTAACTGCCTGTTTTTTGACACAAAATCGCATTCTCAGTGAAGTAAATACACCAAGATGTTCTTTATAGGAATTCTATGAATTCTTGTTTTTAATAAGGAATTTCTGTGGTAACAAAAGCTGATTTCTGTGTCAGTAACTATTGCATAAATGCAATTCCCAATATTTTTGTTTAGTTATTTTTTAAAGTTACTAAACACTTATGTAGTCATGAAGTTTACTTTTTAATCTATGTATGTTTATATAAGTGCTTTCTAGCAGTAGGAGCAGCCCATTAGCTTGTATAAAATCTTATTGAGTTTTATAGGAAAATGTTATGCCTGTCATCATAATTTCCATGTCTTTCAACCAGTATAACGTCTTAAAAGGGTCAAACTGTCAAAAATAAGTGCATTGCTGTGTCCTTGTGTGACAACCGAGCCATAACTTTGGTTTATTTTGGATTTTCCTGAAGGTTGTTGGCGAGTGGCGCTTCAGTCTAATCCACTGCGACATCCTGCTCACTCTGGACGTCATGATGTGCACTGCCAGCATCCTCAACCTGTGTGCCATCAGCATCGACAGGTAGGGCTCCTCTTTTTTTTTCTGAAATGAACCTAACATGACAAAGGGAAGACAGGCTAGTGAACTAAACTTTTATACTTTTGCAAAAGCAAAGTAAAACCATAAATTCCAGGGGAAAAAAATGACAAAAATGAAAAATTACCTGATATTGGCCCCACAATGTCAATCAGAGAAATATAAGTGAGGGAACAAAGGAGGGTAATTGCAAAAGCAAAGAGGTGTTAAAAATGATTTTGATTTTGATGATTTTGATTTTACGTTAATACATAATGATCATCAAAACAAAGCAGAGTGTGTATGACGTCATCTGCCCGCGCCGGCTACCATTCCTTCATCCTGTCCGCTGAACTGCTGCTAGTTTTACTCACATGCCTGGAAGATGTCTAGTGCTACTACCACAGATGATCTCGCTCTTGAAATGGAATTGAACGATTAAGATTAGCTAGATGAACGAATAGAAGGGGTAGAGCGTAGCCGCCTTTGGCCCGGGCTGCCTGTCACAACTCCAGTCCGGCGCCAGGATGATGTCATACACACTCCGCTTTAAAAAAAATAAAAATAAATATAAAAAATATTATCGTGGATGTCTGAGGGACAGTGATTCGCCTACATGGTATGAATGCTGGCGTACTATAAAGAAAACATTATGAACAGTTTAGTTTGTGCCTTCAAGTCGTTGCCCATAGGAAGACATTACTTGGATTACAAAACCGAATATCTTTGGAACAGCTCAAAATGACACAAAACTAATATGGGTGAGTAGAACATGATATAATAACGTAACAACGTAAAATCAAGGGGCCAATGTAAAAAAAACGGTGTTCCCCTTTAAGTTATTTTTATTCTATACCATTATTTATTAACTACGTCTCTGACAATAGATTGTTTTTTCTTCAGAACACCTTTTCAGGAAATGATTATTCATATCATTCATACTCAAAGCTCTGAAAGGAAACTCGGTTGTAAGAATAGTAGAAAAAAACACTGTTTATAATAAGCTGCTAACAGTAAATAATGTAAAATAGAAAAACATTTGCGTTTTTTCTCCTAATTATATAGGTAAAGTTTCTGACAGTATTCCAAAATTTATTTAAAGCTACCTTACCTTGCATTTCTGCCTAATAATAGTTTAGAAAACATATTGTGGTTCCCCTTAGTGTTTTGGAATTGAGAAAACATAAACAAATAACCAAGCTAGAATGATGGCAAATCTGTCTAAACCTTTAGTGAAAATAACTTTTTTACAAGTCCAAGTAGTCCAACTGCTTTATCATTTTATTTTCAGCAAAAAAAGATATGTTTTAGATGTAAGCTTCTACCTGTCAATGAGCTGTAAGACAAGAAGCCTTTCATGTACTTTGATTGTTTATCGGCCCAGCAGGAGGAGTCTGTGATTTTATATCCCCAATGTCGTCTGTGATCTTGGCAGGTTTTCTGCCTTATAACACATTTAATGATGTCATCTTCCAGTCAATGCCCTCTTCACTGGGCCTGGGGGAGGTCACCAGACACCCAGCGGGCAGATTGTCTAGAGCTGTGACCTCGTTTCTCAAATCGACATTTTTAGGTTGCACTAGTTTACACATCCAATTTGGTACATCGACCCAAGTCTTTATGATTCTTTAAAAGTTACCAAAAAACCCCAAAACAAACAAAAACAGATAAGGTTAATTTTGGTTTGACTGAAGAACAATATGCATGCATAGCATTTGAATTATAAGTCGTTATCCATCATCAAAGCCTCTTTGTGATCTTCATATTGATGAGATTTAGTAGAGACCCTTACATGCAATGATGTGAGATAAAATCCCAGGGACACCCTAAACAAGAAGCGAATAAAAAAACATTGCTTAATGAGTTATCCAAAGTTGCTTCGGTTAAATATATCACATACACTGAAGCTGATGTCACCAATGTTGTGCCAGTTTATAGTTAAAAAATACTAGCTCAAAGTTTAGTTTACAGCTAAAAATGAAATAGTTCACGTTCATAGTTCGCGTTTTCAAAAATGGACTAAGTTCACAAACCTATAAATTAACTAGCTCAAGTTTATTTGGCCAACTGAGCAACAATCCTACACAGTAGAACATCATAACATCACCCTTAAATGTGTGATCATGGTATAGAGAAAGAAATGGAAAACAATCAATGCAGTCAAGGTATACTGTATGTGCAGTAAAGCATTTATTCAGCCAAATTTCACAGAACTACAGAAACGTAGGAGTACATTCAGGTTCTGCTAAAAAGATCTGTATCAAATATGATTTATTGCATTCCTCATTCAGTAGCAGATATTTCCCACGATAGCTCAGATGCTTTAACTCGATGTGTCTCTTTCAATTTGAAGTGGACGTTGCTGAGGTAAGGACTTGTTTGTTCATTTCCAGTGGGCACAATTTGCACAAAAACTTGAGTTTTTTTTCTGTCCAAGTCTTCTGTTGTTAGTTCATAAACTCTGCCAAGCGCTCTGCAAAACTGGCATCAGAAAGATCAGTAGATGAGTCTGAATTGCAAAGATTAGTACTAGCAGTAGGCATGCCATCTATCTATCTATCTATCTATCTATCTATCTATCTATCTATCTATCTATCTATCTATCTATCTATCTATCTATCTATCTATCTATCTATCTATCTATCTATCTATCTATCTATCTATCTATCTATCTATCTATCTATCTATCTATCTATCTATCTATCTATCTATCTATCTATCTATCTATCTATCTATCTTCTCCGTTGTTTGCCTTGAGAGGTGTTGTGAATTGCCGCTATATAAATGAACTGAATTTAATTTAATCTGGAAATCTCATTTTACTAACAAGATTTTAGACAAAGTCTGTCGTAGGCTTATTAGCAAAAGGGAATTTGTGAAATAGGTCCTAATTAAAGATGTACAGCTGTAAAAATGACTACAGACATGTAAATATGCCGCTATGATGGCATGGTGATGGATATAAGTAATATGTCTGTAATAATATTTGAAACATTTTCCGCCAATTAGAATGTGGCTTGTTTAAGCACATATTGAACATAACGCTTATTAAGCTCCTATTGCTAGAGTGAAATAATTTTATTGTATTGATTTTATGTACTGTAATCTGAAATGTAATAGTTTACTTGCAAGTGTAAAATCAGTATAACTAACATGAAGGCTTGAAAACATCAGTCCAAAATGATTCTGGTTTATTGAATATGCAAGCAACACAAGGGAGAATCAAACCGTCTACTTAACTCCTTATTAATATATGAAGCTATAAATTTGTCGCTGGAGAAATTAAAAGCAGAAAGATATATGGAATATTGACTGAAGGCAATTGCAGTAAAGGCATACAGGTGCTGGTCATAAAATTAGAATATCATGAAAAAGTAGATTGATTTCAGTAATTCCATTTAAAAAGTGAAACTTGTATATTATATTCATACATCACATACAAACTCATATATTTCAGATGTTTATTTTGTTTAATTTTGATGATTACAAATGACAACAAATGAAAATCTCAAATTCATCATGTCAGAAAATTAGAATATTACTGAAGACCAATAAAAACAAAGGATTTATAGAAATGTTGGCCAACTGAAAAGTATGAACATGAAAAGTATGAGCATGTACAGCACTCAGTATTTAGTTGGGCCTCCTTTGGCCTGTATTACTGCAGCAATGCGGCGTGGCATGGAGTCGATCAGTCTGTGGCACTGCTCAGGTGTTATGATAGCCCAGGTTGCTCTAATAGTGGCTTTTAGCTCTTCTGAATTGTTGGGTCTGGTGTATTGCATCTTCTTCTTCACAATACCCCATAGATTTTCTATGGGGTTAAGGTCAGGAGAGTTTGCTGGCCAATTAAGAACATGGATACCATGGTCCTTCAACCAGGTACTGGTAGCTTTGGCACTGTGTGCAGGTGCCAAGTCCTGTTGGAAAATGAAATCTGCATCTCCAAAAAGTTGGTCAGCTGCAGGAAGCATGAAGTGCTCTAAAACTTCCTGGTATGTGGCTGCGTTGACCCTGGACCTCAGAAAACACAATGGACCAACACCAGCAGATGACATGGCACCCCAAACCATCACTGACTGTGGAAACTTTACACTGGACTTCAAGCAACGTGGATGAAGTGCCTCTCTTCTTTTCCTCCAGACTCTGGGACCTTGATTTCCAAAGGAAATGCAAAATTTACTTTCATCAGAGAACATGACTTTGGACCACTCACCAGCAGTCCAGTCCTGTTTCTCTTTAGCCCAGGCAAGACGCTTCTGACGCTGTCTGTGGTTCAAGAGTGGCTTGACACAAGGAATGCGACAGCAGAAACCCATGTCTTTCATACGTCTGTGTGTGGTGGTTCTTGAAGCACTCACTCCAGCTGCAGTCCACTCTTTGTGAATCTCCCCCACATTGTTGAATGGGTTTTGTTTCACAATCCTCTCCAGGGTGCGGCTATCTCTCTTGCTTGTACACTTTTTTCGACCACATCTTTTCCTTCCCTTCGCCTCTCTATTAATGTGCTTGGACACTGAGCTCTGTGAACAGCCAGCCTCTTTAGCGATGACCTTTTGTGTCTTGCCCTCCTTGTGCAAGGTGTCGATGGTCGTCTTTTGGACAACTGTCAAGTCAGCAGTCTTCCCCATGATTGTGTAGCCTATAGAACTAGACTGAAAGACCATTTAAAGGCTTTTACAGGTGGTTTGAGTTAATTAGCGGATTAGAGTGTGGCACCAGGGGCCATCAATTTTGAACCTTTTCACAATATTCTAATTTTCTGATATGATGAATTTGAGATTTTCATTTGTTGTCATTTGTAATCATCAAAATTAAACAAAATAAACATCTGAAATATATGAGTTTGTATGTAATGTATGAATATAATATACAAGTTTCACTTTTTAAATGGAATTACTGAAATCAATCTACTTTTTCATGATATTCTAATTTTATGACCAGCACCTGTAAAGAAAAACAATACATAACCTTAGTTCTGATGTGTTCTTACCTTAAACCATCATCATCTGCAAAGAAATCACAAAAGTCATTTAAATTGTAAGAATATAGCTTAAGCCTTAGAAATGTTGCTGCTCTAAAAACATATGATGCACTTTAACTGCCTCAGGCTGACCATTTGTGATTATATGTTGCAAGCTTTAAAGCCTGAACCAACTTATACGGAGTGGAAATCATGCAGAATCCATCCATGTTTTAACAGCCTATACTTTCTTTCTGTCTGTGACCTTCTGGCTGCTGTCGGGATTTGAGCTGCTCACTTAAAACCACTCACACCAGCAGACGAGTTCAATTGATGTTGACAGTTGTGTGTTTTGTGTCCTTGTAGCTGTCAAACAAGAAGTGACAGCTTTTGTATGTTTGGGAGGCAAACTGGGAATTTCTTGTCAGGTTTTCTGTTTTAAAAATGTAAAACTGGAAGTGTTAGATGAGTAACTCACTGGATTCCTTGACAATTGTCAATTGTGTATTGAGGATCTTTCAGATGCACATGTGCTACCTTACTGTTTTTTTTATGTATGTGCAGATACACAGCAGTAGCCATGCCGTTGCTCTACAACACCAGATACAGCTCCAGGAGGAGGGTGGCTGTGATGATCGCTGTAGTGTGGTTTCTCTCTTTTGCCATCTCCTGCCCTTTATTGTTCGGCCTAAACAACACAGGTGAAAGTAACCTTTAGACATTTCTTTTAGATTGGGCAACACTCATCAACCAGTGAGGTTTTCAATAAAATTCCCCTAATTAAGGCCATGAAAGTGAAAAATTAAATAGAATTACTTAAGCTGGGCATACACTGAGCCCTTTTCGGGCTATTTTTCCAGTCGTGCGAGAATTCTTTGCATCAGACCGAGTTTGTGGATCATCGTGCATGATGCGTCATGTAGTATACAGGGGGGTAATGAGGGGGCCAACTTGACATCCCTTTTTATATACTCTATTGGTTTTTAACCTTATAAAGCACATAGGGCTGCAACTAACGATTATTTTAAAAATCGATGAATCGGACGAATATTTTTTCGATTAATCGATGAATCGGACAAAAAATATTTTTTATATTAACCTCTTTATTCCAAAATAAACATTTTAGACAGAACAAACAAGCACACAAGTACAGGTTGCTCATTAACTGTTCTGGTGCAATATGAAAAATAAATGTTTGTGTTAAAACTACGCAAACTTACATGAGAAATGTAGCTGTACATCCACAAAATATAGGGTACTTTGTTTCATAAAGCGCAAAAAAAGACATTTTTGTTTTTAAAAGCCCCTAAGGGGTTCAAACAATAGGTCCCCCCATTTCAACAAGTTCTGCCTTTTAAGACAGGAAAGTATAGCAGTTAAAGTTGCTACTTGAGAAAATACTGAACCATAGAGATAAAAATAGCCCTGTGATTCAAATTATAAATTGTATTTGGAATAAAAATGAGAGAACTAGGGGTGCTAAAAAACACATCCTCCAAAGACAGATATATACATGGAAATGTGGCATATAATTAATTGACATATTACTGATCTTGCTGGATTTTATGCTTTACTTCCATAAATTGCAGGATCTTCTTTACTTTATCTTTGCCAGAAGATTTAAACTTTAAAAGCCTTGCCCTCATAATTTGCAAGTTAATTTATTTATAAAGTAAATATAAACGCTGCTTAAGCTAATTCAAATGAAATTAAAAGTAAAATAAGTAGCCAACCATATCACTGTCTGTAACCTACTAACAAGGTAAGGAAAGCATCAGATGAGCTACCTGAGAAACTAACGTTACGTTTCCCCTCTTTAAAACCAAACAAACATGGTGGTTCCGTGCCATGTTAATTTCTTTTGACAAAAGTTGCATGTTACGACTTTTTTCACTTTACAAAGCACAGGCTATTTTAATTATTGTGATCAATTTGCGCCGTCAATCCCGGTGCATGCGCGCTTCATTTGCAGTCTGGACGCTGAGGCTCTGACTGCAGCGCTGAGAGGGACTCCTGTGGGAGAACGGGGTTGGGATGGGGGAGGCGCCCCACGGCAGAGTAGGAATGATGCATGCTTTCACGTAAGAGTCTCCAAAAGCCGCCAGTGACACCGAAAAAAGTCGGCAGATTTGTCGCTAGTCGCTTTTTTGAAAAATAGTCGCTGGAGGGGTCTGAAAAGTCGCTGAGTTGGCAACACTGCACCTGCGGCGCTGACTCGCTCTGCCGTATTTTTTTTCTTCTTCCTCTTTCAGTCAAGAGGCGCGGCGGATGACGCATTAATCGCGCGACACAACTAATCGTTGATGAAATTCGTTGCCAACGCTTTCAAAAGTCGATTTTTATCGATTTTATCGATTCGTTGTTGCAGCCCTAAAAGCACAGATTTTAATTCCCTATATTCCCTATATTTGGATATTTTCTAAGTAAATAGAGCATGATTTTATAACAAATAAGAGAGTTTTACTATTCTAAATGTAGGTAGATTTCTGCTGTGTGCCTTTTTTTAAATAAGACTGTAAGATGTTCTTAATTGGTATATCGTTTTCCTCAAGCTGATTATAGAAAAGTTTAATCAGAGAGTTTGTACTTTGACAAGTGGGCTCCATGGCTGTTGTGCATCCAGATGTTGGTTTCCAGACCCTTCCATGAGAAAACTGGGACTCAAATTTGAGACATAGTCACTTTTAATGCTATTTTTGACAGAAACAACCTTGTTCTATTAAATTGCATTAGGAATGTTAGGGTTTATTCTCAGTAGAGTGTTAGACTTAAGTCAAAATTTTTGGGACGTTCAATAGCAATTTCTCTCCTCTGAATTGAAACATTCTTTAACATTAGTAAATACTCAAATGATATTATACTGAGAAATACATTAGAAAAAAAGGGTCAACTCTACAATTGGTCCCTCTTCTAGGGAATGTCAGAAGATGCCTTGTACAGCGATTAGACACAGATAATATTTGATTAGTTTGTCATCTCACACAGCAGGTGGAACAATAGTCCACAGCTGCCAGCCTCTGCGCTGATAAATGCTTCTGTGGTGGGAGGGTAGGCTGAAGCTTTGATAGCGCACAGACTGAGCTCAAAGGAAGGGCTTTTATGCTGTGAAGTAAAGCGAGAGCTTAGTTCTAACAACGCAGAACAGCAGGACGTTGAATGATGCAAGTCAAACTGTGAAAAAACATCTCGCTCACCACAGTGTGTGTTGCTCTTATTTAAGACTTAAAAGGCAGGTCATAATTTCTTAATTTAGGTGCGTAATAGCTCACCATTAAGAAGCACAAGACTAGTCAAGGTGATGCCAATTAAAAAGGTTAAGAAAGCCTTTAAATTCTGTTTGAAACAGGTGTGTTATTGAGGGGGGCCTTGGTTATTCCATACTTATAATAACTCACGTACAAACCTCCAATAATGTATTCATGAGTCTCAGAATCTTGTAAGTTGATTGTTTGACAAGCTTATTTTGCAAAACTAATACTTTTTTTTTGTCGATCTTTATGTTCTGCACCAGCCAGCAGAGATGGCACCACATGCAGCTTTGCAGACCCAGCGTTCGTGGTTTACTCATCCGTGGCCTCTTTCTATGTGCCATTTATTGTTACGTTGCTGGTATACGCCCAGATCTGTGTGGTGCTGCGCAAACGTGGAAGACGCACTGCTCCACCGCGCAAACATGGTTTGCTTACACAGAGTGGTTCTGCAGGGGCAGAAAATCGGCAACGGAAGGTAACGTCAGTTTTAGTGACGGCTAAATTTTCAGTCTGCATTAAACCATGGAGTTAGCTTTCTATGTTTTAACTTTGTCTAAGTATGCAGGAAAACTTGTAACCCATCAACAAAATCATCAATTTGTGAAGGAAAACAAACTAAATGGCTGCCCCCTGCAGCATTGTTCAGTGATACAGAACATGCTCTCCCTCTGTTATAGGGGAAGACGAGTAGCAAGTTGTGCAAATTGAACATGTTCTGCAACTTGCCACTTTGGCTGGTACACTGTTAATATCTACCCTCCACTTCCATGATTTACCCTCATTTGCTCAGTGGCTGATGTAAATTTCCACCCCTGGTCACAGATCATTTCCAGTTTTAAATCAGATACCATTGGAACTTGCGAACCGCTATGCTGCTAAAAAGATATAGGTATACAAGCCAATCTCATTGTATCTCTGTAATACTAAATATGTATGGATCTACATCGGTCTCAACTTTCACAAATACACATTTGTGATTCATACATGCACAGGACAAGATCCACACCTGCACAGAACAAGATTAATTTCTTGTCCATAAACAATTATAAATTAAATTACAAAGTACCAGTTGTCTTTAAACATCACTACATTTGTGTGTGGATTTTTGATACTGTCCTTACATGCCTTGATATACAAATGCTATACAGGGATGGTTTGCCACCCATCACAAAACTCCCTTGTATAAGCCAATCACAAGAAAGTTCTCCACGTGGGATGACCTAGATCCAACATCCTTTGTATCCGCCCGCTCCGTTCCAGACAGCCTGCAATAAGCAAAGCCTACATCCTCCACCGTTCCTCCTGCTCAAGGAGAGCATACGCTATATTATTATTCAATTCATAGGAGAAAAACATGTTGTAACGCTTAATTTGATATGACGTAATTGAATCTCACCATAAGCATCAATCACACACCTTTCTGCCCAACATTTTCTTTTCGTTGTAGCTCTTTGTAATAGGGATAATCATACAAAATTGGTTTGTTCTCTACCTCCAAACTCAGCATCTCTTCATCCATGCCTCCAATAAAAAATGTATTTTGAGGTTGTGAGAGGCGCTCTTAGAAGGACTGGATTTGATTACACTTTTAAGCCTCTCGATATAAAATAAATATTTTGATGGAGATGAGAAATCTGCTTCCTGGTATGTTGAAGTATAATAATTTGCATCCAATAATTTAAATAAACGGTGTTAGTTTGTGGTAATATATAAGAAGAATGCTCTAATTTGTAGTTACAGATCCATCGTTACCTTATTTTAATTGGACAAGCCGGATCTTCTCGCAATTCTTTTTCCTGTTTGGTGCGATTGCACCTGGCTGGAATGGAGTGGAGCTAAAATAGCTCGGCTCCTTATTTTGACAGTAAAGGACGCAAAAGACATCAACATGTCAACTTGCCAAGGGGTAGCAGTGGATGTGGAAGAGTACTTATGGATTAAAACAAGTACGCAAGTGGTCCGAACAACGTACAGGGGCGGGGCAGAACAGAACAGGTTGGATAGGGAGGATGTGGAATCTGGGTCATCCCGCGTAGTGTACTTTTTTGTGATTGGCTTATACAAGGGAGCTTTGTGATCGGTGGCAAACCATCCCTGCTTAAAAAAATGCATGTGTGTATCGAGCCACGTCAGGGCAGTCTCACAAATCCATACACAAATGCAGCAAAGTTTAAAGAGCACTGGTACTTTGTAATTTAATTTATAACTGTTAATAGACCAGAAATACTTTGGTGAATCTTGGTCTGTGCATGTGTGGATCTTGTGTGCTTGCGTGAATCATGCTGTGCGTGTGTAGATTTTTTTGGTGCTTGTGTTAATCACTCTGTGCATGTGTGGATCTTGTCTCGTGCAAGCATGAATCACTTATGTGTATTTCTGAAAATTGAGACCAACCTAGATCCATAAATATGATCATTACTTAAATATTTCAAGTTTTGTTATGTTTTATAAGGGGAAACAACATTTTGATACTGAAATTAAATTGAAACCTGCAGTTTCTGAATGCAAAGAAAATACAGCATAAAATGACTTCATAAAGTAATTTTCTGTCATACTGTCATACTGATGAAGATTCACTGACATTTTAAGATCACTGTTTGAAGTAACTACACCTCTCCTACTCACTTTAAAATTAACATTGCAGTTGTTGTTCGAAGTGAAACATATACTTCAAAGAGAGAATTTTGAGTTGTTTATGATTTCATTTCTGTGATACAGCTGTATATCTGGCAAAATAAGAAAAGCTGTGTGAGCACTTACAATGTCTAATGGAGCTTACACAATATCCAGATAATTAATGCAAAAAGTATTTACATTTTCCCTTTTGTAATAACCTTTGTGTATTATTATATAGGTAGTTGAGGACACTTTTATTGTGCAATCCCCCCAAAAAATTTAATGCTCCAAATATACACAGCTTTGAATTGAAATCTATTTTCAATGCAGGACATTACATCCGGCTATGTAATTTGATCCATACTGTGGATCGAATTTCTTTTGTGTTTTATTATTGTTATTATTTTTTTTTAACAAAGCCCATAAATCTGCTCCTTGTCTTCAACCAAGCTGACACTGCAGAAGATTAAAAGTGTTATTATATACCGACAACTTCACTTCACAATTTTCTTTCTGCACAGCAACAATATTGGTTTTCATAGTGGAGAAAAACAATTATGCTAAATTTTCATATTTGTCCTATTTCAAAAAGTAATGTGTTATTGATTCTATCAAATGGAACGACCACTGATATATTGTGAACATTTATCTTTGGATCTGTTTACTTCTTTCTAAATGTTGTGATTGTGTCTGGCTGACAACCGGTTTCCTACAGATGAGCTTAAGGTACTCATTGGGTGTTTCAAGTGTAAAACACTTTACATAAGACACACATTTATTATTTTTACAAGCAAGGATACCAATTTGAAAAAACTAGTGTGGCACAATGAAAGGTACATTAAATGTACATTAGAAAAGTTGTTAGAGCACTTAAAATCATATTAAATCATAATACATACAGACAATATTCAATAAGACCTTTAAAGTTTCTTGGAAAGTGGCCACGTCCCTAAGTATTATGGTCCCCCATCTGGTGGCCAGTGACTCCTGGAGCTGTGTTAGGCTTGCTGAGGGCATCAAGCATTGCACAAGGCTGTGGTGGCAGTCCTCTCTCTACTGAGCTCTTGGCCACTGGCCTCCCAGGATATAAAATATGCCATTTCTACCTTGGTTTGAACTCAGAACCTCAGGATTCCAAGCTCTATGCCCTAACCACTAGGGCAAACTTTAACACCACACACTAGTATTGATCATTTACTCATTCATGGTGATGAGCTACACCGTAACCAAGTGAGGCGCCTGTACAGAGACCCCACTTGGCCGTCCGATTGCCATCGATAGGCCATGTGGGTAAAGTAACACCAAATATTTAGAAGAACTAACTCCTGCATAGTTGAATCAAACTAAACAAGTGTAATTAACAGTGTCCTTTCGAGATACAACACCAACTTTAGAAATTTTGCACATTTGACTTGGATGTGTACCTCTGAGTAGGGAGATTGGCTGTCCTAAGGTAATGTTCTTGGATTGCTGTGGCCTTTTCTGGTGGGGTCTACCTGCCCCCTGCTGCATTTAGGTGCTCGACAAACTTAAATGTACACATCTAGGTTACAAACATTCCCTTACAATAACACAAAACATTTATATATGCAAAAATGTTTAGTCATGCACTCCAACACACAATCAACCCAAATGGTTGTAATTCAAAAGAAGGCTGCAATAACATATTTATGGTCTGCCTACTTTAATGCTGGATTTGATTTAGATTTCATAGTTATTCACACAATGAGAATACCATTTTTAGATATCCTTTTTACAGAGCAGATATAGCACACTATGCTGGAAACACCACAGAATGCATGAAAATCAAGACTACCACATAAGAAATATTGTGTAAGGTGATGATTTTGTGTGCTAGAAAACACAAAGACATGTTCCTTGGTTTTTCTTGCTTGTTCTCCATTGTTGTCCAAAAAACAATATCTTAATAGTAAAGCTATATAAAACATTTTTGTTCCACAGTTAATAAGGGACAGTGGACCAAACATGTAATTGAAATTCTGTAAATGAATTTTTCTCAAGTGTAAATGCCTGTTTTTTTTTTTATTATTTCCTGCTTCTGTTCTTTTAAGAATAAATGCACACAACCAGAAGATGTGAAATTATGCACCATGATCCTTAGACCTGCCACTGCAGGCCCTCAACGAAAGAAAGTGGTGAGCAACTTTTTTTTGCTTTATTTTTTTGTTGTTACTAAATGCTGAACAGTCTGCTATTCACCAGCAGTTCATGGTTTAAAATTATCTGCATCTTTTTTCCCAAAGCCTGTCTTCCTCACTTCCATCCGTCTTCTCTTATTGTCTGTCAGACACTTGTAAAGGAGTCCGTGGTTCATCCTCTCGAAGTGGAGCCAGGTCGGTTCCTGCCACAGACAGAGCAGGACCTCCCCCCTCCCAACGCTCCCCAGCCCTCCTCTAATTCACTACAGTCTAAGATCTCCCTCTCCATCGCAGTGGGACCGGCCCCCACCCTTTCCTCTGTTGTGGCACGATCAGCATTGATGCCCCGTCCTCCTACTCTAGAGGATGGTATGAGAGGTCGAGAGGGGTGGAGGGAGCGCAGCGGAGGCAAAGAGAAATGGGGAACCACCAAGGAGAGGGTGAGAGGGAGGCTCTCGCAGCAAAAGGAGCGGAAGGCGACACAGATGCTGGCCATCGTGCTCGGTGAGGAAGAGAAAGGCCAGACAAACTAATCAGATGTTCACCTCTGGATTATTTACACAGTTAACCAATTTATAATCTGCCTTACTGTTATACTGATGTTATTAAAACAAATTAAATCATGTTACTTTATTAAAAAGACACATTTTGAACAGTTTTAATCTCTATAGTTACAGACTTAGACTTAGACAACCTTAATTCTCATTTTGTATACATCAAGTGTATACAAAACAAAATTAAGTTGCTTACAGCTTCCAACAGTGAAATGAGCATTGCCATTTGAAGTGCAGTAGTGATCATCATGTAAACAATATAAGAGAAAAGGAAAACCAGTTTAGAAAGAAAAAATGGTGCAAAGGAGCATTAGTATGAAAAGGTTCAGTGCAGTGCAAAATAAGATCCAAAATGCAGTATAACATTGAGTTGTGTCCTACTTATAAGGGTTATAAAAGTTTTCAGCCATGTTGGTGGTGCAAAATAATTTTGCAAGACTGATACAAAGTCCACTTTCAGGTTTAACATTTCAACAGTCTGATGTCAACAAGAAAAACGCTGTTGCAGAACCTGCTGGACCTGCAGCAGATGCTGCAAGGCCTCTTTCCAGAGGGCAGCAGGGAGAACAGTCAAACAGTCTCATTTTTCTGTACTTAGGGTTTTTTTGTGAATCAGAAGGAACAAAATTTTATATGAATTAAGGGGAAAAAGGAGTTAAAAATGTATTAAAACTATATTAATTTCTGTTAAGATTAGAATAGTTTTTCTGACACTGACTGGAGAGTTTCAGATTCAGTTTCACTGCACTTTTTACTTCTAAGAGATATATAGTTATTGGTAAAATCTGACACTCATAGCAGCAATCTTTTTCCAATCTCATTTATATCTGATATCTTACTCGATTGCATTCTGCCTTCTCACAACCTCGCGTTTTATATTTTATGGCTGACTGCATCACTCACAATAAAAACCAATGAGGTTATCTGTAGCTTCAGCAGTTTTGTGACATTTTGAAATGATCAAATGCAGATAGATGAAATTCTTATAACTTACATTGCTGCTTGATTTGTTTTCTTGCTGCGCAAACTAAACACACAAGCTGTCTGACAGTTGAATTAGCTGAACTATATTTTTAAAGATGATCGGAACAAAGCGTTGTTATAGTTGAAACAAAAAACATCAACGTAGTAAAGAAATAATTTCTTAAAATAATTGTCTGTGGTGTAATTTTACAGAGCAGGGGTCACCGCCCTTTTTAAGGCTTAGAGCTTCTTCATAGGTACAGAGTCATAGGAAGGGCTACCAATAATGACCAATGACCTGGAAGAGTCGCTGTTCACCTAAACTTTATACATAGTGAGCATGTTTTTAATGCTTCTTTTAATTTCAAATTTTCTTTTAGATATTTGTATCTTAAAATCTCTATAAATGCTTAGATGCCCTATCTGAGTAATAAAATGATGAAATGTTCTTTAAATGATTAAAAAAGAAGTCCAAGAGAATAAAATTCCAAACTTAGTCCACTGATGAGTTGTTCTTGTATTTAATTCAATGGGAAAGTATTCAGCCCCCTTGAACATTATGATCGTTTGCCACATTTCAGGCTTCAAACATAAAGATATAAATCTTTTATTTTTTTGTGAAGAATCAAAATCAATTGGGAGAGAATCATTAAGTGGAACAAATATCATTTGATATTTTAAACTTTTTTAACAAATAAAAAAAACTGGGGTATGCAAAATGAATGGGCTCCTTTACTTTAATGTAGCAAACTCTTCAAAAGTCCAGTGAGGATCTAAGTGATCCAATGTTGACCTAAATGACTAATGACCATAAATAGAATCCATGTGTGTGATCAAGTCTGTATAAATGCATCTGCTCTGTGATAGTCTCAGAAGTAAGAAGTAAGGCGCAGAGAGCATCATGAAAAACAAGGAACACACCAGGCAGGTCTGAGATACTGTTATTGAGAAGGTTAAAGTTGGAGTTAGATACCAAAAGATTTTCCAAGCTTTAAACATCCCAAGAAGCACTGTGCAAGGGATAATATTTTAATGGAAGGGGTATAAGGCACTGCAAATCTAGGAAGACCTGGCCATCCCTCTAAACTTTTAGCTCAAACAAGGAGAAGACTGATAAGAGATGCAGCCAAGAGGCCCATGATCACTGGATGAACTGCAGAGGTCTACAGAAGGAGAGACTGTCCATGGGATAACAATCAGTCAAATATTGCACAAATCTGGCCTTCATGGAAGAAAGACATTTTTTTAAACATACCCATAAAAAGTCTTGTTTAAAGTTTGCAACAAGCCACCTAGGAAACACAGTAAACTTGTGGAATTAAGGTGCAAAACATTATGTTTGCCATAAAAGCAACACTGTACATTACCCTGTACACACAATCCCCACTGTCTAACATAGTGGTGGCAGCATCATGGTTTGGACCTGCTTTTCTTCAGCAGGGACAGGGATGATGGGAAGATTGATGTACCCAAAGACAGTACCATTGTTGAAGGAAACCTGTTTGCATCTGGAAACGCTGACTTCCTAAATGAACTAAAAAACCTCTTTAGAAGGTTTGAGGCACCAAACAGCACTCCAGCAGTGACTCTAAACAGCACTTCAGCAGTGAAACCTGTTCTACACCAGGGGGAGGAGACACTTAACCTTGACATAGCTGAAGTGAGGAAAACTCTGAGGAGAGTTAACCCAAGAAAGGCCCCAGGCCCTGATAACATACCTGGGCGGTTGTACAAGGAGAGTGCAGGTCAGCGGGCTGCTGTCCTCACAGACATTATCAACACCTCGCTGGACCAATCCATAGTGCCAGCATGCTTCAAGTCTCCTACCAACCCGCTCCAGTTTCCCACCAATGGAACCGCTCCACTGAGGACACCATCTCCTCCGCTCTTCCCCTGAGTCTGGCACACCTGGAGGAGCAGAACACCCATGTGCAGATGTTGTTCCTGGACTTCAGCTCAGCATTCAACACCATCATCCTACAACATCTGACAGGCAAACTGGAACAGATGGGCTTCAATACACCCCTCTGTAATTGGCTGTTAGACTTCCTCACAAAAAGATACCAGTTAGTCCAGGTTGGACAGAAAACCTCTGATGTCATCAACCTAAGCACAGGCTCCCATCAGGGCTCCGTCCTGAGCCCCCAGCTGTTCACTCTAATGATGCACGACTGTGTCCCCAGGTTCACCACCAATCGCATCGTGAACATCGTATACAACACCACAGTGGTGGGCCTCATCAGAGATGACAACGACCTGGACTACAGAAGGAGTTGGAGCAGTTTGTGGGCTGGTGCAGAGACAACAACCTGATCCTGAATGTGAAGAAGACGAAGGAGCTCATCGTTAACTTCAGGAAAAACCGTCTAACCACGCTCCACTGGTCATCAACAGCTCAGTTGTAGAGGTGGTCAACAGCACCAAATTCCTGGGGGTGTACATCACAGACAACCTCACCTGGACTGTAAACACCACTTAACTGGTCAAAAGGTCACAAAAGCGCTTGTATTTCCTGTGGAGGATGAAGAGAGCCCACCTGCCCCCACCCATTCTTATCACCTTCTACAGAAGCACCATAGAGAGTGTTCTGACCAGCTGTCTCACTGTGTTGTGTGGAGGCTGCAGCACCTCAGACTGGAAGAAGGTGAGAAGAGTGGTGAGAACCGCAGAGAAGATCATCGGGGCTCCTCTTCCCTCCATAAAAGATAGTTCATCCCAGCCCTGCGTGTCCCAAGCCTGTAACATTATAAATGACCCCTCAGACCCCCACCATGGACTGTTCTCCCTGCTGCCCTCTAGGAAGAGGCTACGAAGCATCCAATGCAGTTCCTGCAGATTCCAGAACAGCTTCTTTCCCACCGCCATTAGACTACTGAATGTTGAAAAAAACAAAAAAATTAAAATAAAAAAAACTGTAAATCCTATCTCAGTCTTATGTTTACATCTAATCACCATGTTTACATTTTATCACTGCTCCACTTTAAAAAATGGAAATGTGTTGTGAGCTGTACTGAACGAATTTTCATTTTGTATGCACCCTCTGTGTACAAAATGACAATAAAAGTTGTCTTCGCGGTCTAAGTCTAAGTCTCAGACTTAGACTTAGACCGTGAAGATTTATCTTCTAACAGGACATTGATCAAAAACATAAAGCAAAATCTCCAATGGAACGGTTCACAAATAAACATAGCCAGGTGTTAAAATAGCAAAGTCAAAATCCAGACCTTAAACCAATCTGTGGAAAGAACTGAAACTGTTGTTCACAAACACTCTCCATCCAACCTTACTAAGCTTAAGCTATTTTGCACAGAAAAATAGGCAAAAATGTTGGTCTCTCAATGTGCAAAACTGATAGAGACATACTCCATTTGATTTGCAGCCGTAATCACAGCAAATTTAATCGCTGAATAATTTTGCACACAATTTTTTAAAATGTCCAATACATTTCGATCCACTTCATGATTGTGTCTTGTTGTCGGTTCTTCACAAAAAAAATACAATTTTATGTCTTTATCTCTGAAGCCTGAAATGTGGCAAAAGGTCGAAAAGTTCAAGGGAGCCAAATAGTCTCTAAAGGCATGGTATTTTAGTTTAATTTAGACCCGTTTAAGTTCAAAAGTTAGTGTAAATTGGACCAAATGGTCTTTTGATATTCTTTGAAGATTTTTTCTTGGGGTTGCTTCATAAATGCTTATCTGAATTGGTTATTATGAAAATAGAAGTTTACTGATCCATTATTTAGAGAATAATAGCTGGTGTGGTTTCACACACATTGTGATGCATAAAGCAAATCCTTTATCATACATAGCTATCTTATCTAAATATACATAAATATTCTGAACTAAATAGGCATCCCATAAAAAGTGATATATAACCAGTCTTCCTAAATCTAACTAAATTGTTAACTTACATTTAAACTCAATTATATCCCAAAGTTTGAACAGTTTAACAAAAACTGGGTCTCAGATGAAGGGAAGTTGGTCATTATATATTTAAGAATAATTCAGCAAACACTTAGACCTATTTCTTCAATTAACAGAAAAATACTGGAACGCCTGAGCAAATGTTCATTGTGACAAAATTCATCCTCAAGATGAAATTTAGATAAACCCAAGATGTTACCAGCCAAAACAGAGGAAATACCTTAAATAGGACACTTAAAAACTTGAATAACATTTTCAGCTGCCCACATGGGCAAGAAAAGGGAATTTTTCATGAAGGGTTTTATGATAGAATGACATGATGATGATTGAGCTAATTGGCCACATGACAAAAAGCTGCATGGAACATTTAGGCTTAAGCTTTTAAAGTCCCAAAACAGTGGTCCAACTGCTGAGCACAGTGAGGGTAGAATTATGCATTTATTCCTGAGACACACCACAAAAGCATGCTATATTTAAACATACACAAATGTATAATCAATGTTGTCTTTTATCTCCAAGGTGTGTTCATTATCTGCTGGTTGCCTTTCTTCTTGACCCACGTGCTTAAAGCCCACTGTAGGAGCTGCTGCATCTCGCCCTCTCTGTACAGTGCTGTCACCTGGCTTGGATATCTCAACAGTGCTGTAAACCCCGTTATCTACACCACTTTTAACATTGAATTTCGTAAAGCCTTCATCAAGATCCTTCACTGCTAGCCCTGACCGAGAAGCACCAGCTGTCAAAGTGAATAAATAAGAAAAATAGATGTGGGGCTATAGAGGAGAAAGCAAAGATAAAGATCTCTGTGACAGTGCGATGCTAAGAAGAACTGAGACTGTAATCAGGATAACTTGGAGACATGGAGATAAATACTTTTTTGAAGGATAGAAGAGAAAAATAGAACCAGCGGCTAAGACAAGACAAAACCGTGGAGAGAAAACAACGTTTAAGAAAGGCAATGACAACAGGCTCAAAAGAACTCACAAAAACAGATTTGGAAAAGTGGAAGACAGCCACAAGGTAAACAAAAAAGTTGGATTTATATATAGTGGAAGAGATGTATTCTGTGCAATGTAAATATATTCAGTAAAGAGTAATATATTCAGTCTAACTCCTTTGTGGGTTTTAAGATAATAATAATGTTGTCCAGGTGTACAGCTTCACTGGATTTGCATCAGACTGGCTCTGTTGAATTTACTTGTAATCTTGACAAACACCATGTGCTTGTATTCCTCACATGACAGGGTTCATTTAAACAAACAAAAACAGGAAAATAAATCGTCTTTTTGTATTGCTGACAACTCTTTTGTTATTTTTCTTTAAGAATCTATTTTATTTTAATAAACTCATATGTTTGTGCTGTAAATAAGTGTTTTTACTCAGCTGACTGTTTTAAAACGTAAATTTTACTTTTGAATGCTTTTTATTTTTTGACCATTGTATGAATAATTATTAAGAAAAAACTCAGTATTTACATAAGCTTATCAACAGCCTGTGCAAATATTTAAATGAGGGCATCAGAAATGAATAGTTCACACAAAATCTGTTTTATTTGTTGTTGGGGTTTTTTTTATTGCCTAATTTATCCTAACTTTTCCCACAGGCCCTACAATCTGAAGTTGTTTTTCACAATGGATAACTGTTAAACACTATGAACTCTGCATGTGCTTATTTTCTATTCTTTTGATATGTAGAAAATACATTGTTCTCTTTCTGAATGTACATGATGCCACAAAAAAGAGTACTTTATGCATTTGTTCAATGCTGCATCAATGAAAAGTATTAAAGATAAGTTATTGTTTTGTCCCATAAGAAGACAATATCTGTAACTTATAAAGGTAAAAATAAGCCCTAATGTCACTCTGAATAAACTGTGAAGCAAAATGGAAAATGTGCAAGTTGAACTATGAAGGGACTAGCTGGTGGTTGTCTTTTTTAATGCAAGTTTTATTTTGTTTTTAAAAAGCAAATATGTCAATTTTGTCACACCAACCTTTCCACTTCTACTTTACCGCTAGCCAGGTGGTAAAAGCAGACCATGTACAATATACAGCAACAGTTTAACCAAACAGCCAGTTAAACCATAGTTTTCAGCCATTCATCATAATGAGGAGGGTTCTTTTTCATCCAGTGTTTTAATAGAATCCCTTTTGCTGTAGTCAGAAAAGGCCACCTCTTGTCAGAAGGTGAGAAGTGTGAGTCTGGGACTTCTACTGATGAGCCTAAATCTGCAAGCTTGGTAGCATTAAACCTTCTTTTCAATATTCCGAAAATGGCTTCCATAATCTTTATCCACCAACATTGAAGACCAGGGCAGGCCCATAGTACAGTATATGTAGAATAGATGCTCCCTCCTCATTACATCTCCAGCAAGTGTCTTTAGGAATCAAATTCAGTTTATGTTTTTGAGTGATTCTATGCCATCTATGAATGGTTTTTAATTGAATAAACTTGTTACTAATTTCTTTATACATTGTTTTTACATTTTGTAAATATGAGTGCCAATCACCTTCAGATGTCCAAAGCCATGTCTTGAGTCTTGAGGTTTTTTTTACTTTGACCCTTTGAATAAGTAACATTTTGTATATGTTAGAGGTAATACCTTTGCCACTGGCCAGCTTACAAAGCAATATTTCTTCAGAGCCGCACAAAGGACATCTGAGTGGGCTGCCTAGCCATTTGGACAATGAACTACCTCATTGGACAAATCTCCAAAATTGATTGCAAGGCAAATTATACCTATCAACAAACTCATCAAAGTTAAGATACGTTTTAGTTTTGATATCAAACAAATGAAATACACAGGAAATTCCCACCTTCTGCCACTGTGGCCATTTAACTGATTTCCCCCCCTGATTTTTTTATTATTCAATAAAGGAGTTAGAGATGACTTAATAAAATCCCAGATACCTGCTCTGTTTAATTTATTCCAAATGAATTTGGCTACTGTAATAATGGGATGATCACTGTGCATTCTTGTTTTGACACCAAATAAAATCAACCATAGAGATTCAGCTCTATTCGCATCCAGCAGAAACCTGGAAATTTTATCAGAGGGCTGTGTGACTAAACTAATTTACATCATAGGCATTCTTTCATTTTAGATATTTTCCTTTGTTGTCACAAACCTCTCTTCTAACGAAGCCTAAAGATTAAAATAACTACAAATTCTTCTGTGATTTAGTCAACTTTCTTTAGATGTTAATCCATTAAGCGTCTAGACTACAAGTAGAAAAAGTAATAGAAAATTTAGATAAACCTTCCTTTATCAGCTGAAGTATACCAGCTTTTTTATTTCAAATACAAGAGACAAAGAAAAGTAGTTTACTCCAGTGTGCAACTTACGGCTTCATGACAGCAGCTCTGCTGCACTGTCAGTGAAGCTTACTGATCTGTCAACACACACAAGATAAAACAATTGATGCTATTATGTTGTAAACACTGCTTCTTCATAACACAGAAAAGCCAAGTGTTTTATTTTCTTTCCCTGGTTTGTTACTACTCAGATGTGAAGCTGTCAGAAATGTGCAAGTTTCATTTACTCACGATCAGTGTGATGATGAAGAGAGGAGAATGGGACCACATACTTTGGTTCTGAACAGTCTGAGCGAAAACTTTACATTAGAAAGCTTAAGTCTTGATTCATATAATACTATATCTGTATGCACTACGTTGTTTTCTTTCTGCAATATTTATTTTCTACTCTGTATGACCTAGAAACACACATTTTCAACTTACTCAGCTGGCAGAAAAAGGCTTCTTAATACAAATAAAACCAAAACAGAAGAAACATGCTATAATGGATGTGAAAAAGCTGAACAGTTCTTGTTCCTTTGTTACTATGCAATAAAAATATCTAGTTCTAGTGAATAAGTTAACATATGGTCAATATTCAGTTGGGTTCCCCATACCATTCGGTCCATCTGTATCTGGAAGTCCCACAGGATCTTGGCTCGGTCATTCTATACCATCTTTGGAGGTGTTTCCAACTTTGACCTTTGTATTTTCAGCCAATACTCAGCGCAGATGTTCCTGTACACTATTCCAGCCACTTGGTTATGGCGCTCCATGTAAGCTTTCCCTGTCAGCATCTTACACCCTGCAGTTATGTGCTGGATTGTCTTTGGGGCCTCTTTGCACATTCCACACCTAGGGTCTTGTCTGGTGTGGTAGATCTGGGTCTCTATTACGGTATATCTATCTCTATAGGCTGAGGGAGGGAGAGGTGAGTCGATCCTGCAGGTGATAGTGACGGACACGCATGCCAGGCACAGAAAACCGGGAGGTGACCTGATGGCACAGTCATGGCAGTGGTCTGCATCTGTAAGAAGCACTCCGTCTCGATCAGAGTATTGTAAGGATCCCACCTGCCCCTTGCTCAGCAGCATGTCCGTCCCTATAACCTGCAGGATCAGCTCCGCCTAATGGTAATTAAATATCATTTAGGGGGCCATGGAGAAACAATTCCCGGGCTGGATCAGTCCCACGGGCCTTGACATATGTGCTCTAGCACTCTCAGGGGCATCTTTACACAGTTTGCACCTGGGGTCTTGTCTTGTGTGGTAGTTCTGGGCCTCTATTGTTCTGGTGCTCAGGGCCAGAGATGGCAAAAGTACTCACTTTCTGTACTTGAGTGAAAGTACAGATACTTGTGTTAAAAAATACTCTGGTAAAAGTGGAAGTACTTATTAAACTTCTTTACTCAAGTAAAAGTAACAAAGTACAGGCTTGTAGATTTACTTAAAGTATAAAAGTAAAAGTAGAAACCACTTTTTTCATGCCATTGCCTACATTTTGAATGGATGTCTGCCAATAGGACTAGATCTCCGTTGTGTTCATTTTCAATCATCTCGTCATCCATACTACTATGCTAACGCCACCGCCACCAAGCTGCAATGATTTGCCGCGAATGAATACCGCCGAATCTGTCGATTCATCTTGTAGTGGTGCGTCAAATGCAACGTAGATTCCCATCCAATTAGATTGAATTTGGTATTGATGACGTGAAAAATAATAACGGTAACTCCATTGAAATGATTCAAAACTAAAGTAACGAGACAATTTTTAAAAATGTAAGGAGTAGAAAGTACAGATATTTGTGTAAAAATGTAAGGAGTAGAAGTAAAAAGTCGCCATAAAAATAAGTAATAAAGTAAAGTAAAAATATCAGAAAAATCTACTTGAGTACAGTAACGAAGTATTTGTACTTCGTTACTTCCCATCTCTGCTCAGGGCCTGCTCCTGTGCAGCCATGATGAGTGCCTCTGTGCTGTGCTTCAGTCTGGCTTTGTCTTGCCATTGGTAGGATTTTCTGATATCTGCTACTTTGGTTATGTTTTGGTAGTACATCTCATGTAGGGCTTATCCTCCCATGACGGAACCGCCAGCACCTTATCTTCTGTTCCCCATTGTCTGAGATATTCACTGAGCATGTCGCTTGTTGGTGCTGTGTCCTTGATGTACTTATGGATCTTGGATGTTTCATCCTGGATAGTACAGTAGCTCTTCTGCTCACAAGTCCTCAGCCTCCTTCCTTACGGCTACAGTCTAAAGGTGCTGGATTTGGGGTGGTTCCTTATGTGCATGTTTAGGAGCTTTCATATCTTAACATCTGTGGCCTGTATCTCATCTTTTGACCAGCTTATTATTCCTGCAGGGTATCTGATTACTGGTAGAACGTTGCTATTTATTGCTTGAGACTTATTCTTGCCATTGAGCTGGCTTCTTAGTTCCTGCCTTACTCGTTGGAGATATTTGGCCGTAGCCACACTCCTTGTCACCTCTTCAAGGTTGCCATTTGCTTGTGAGATTTTGTGGTACTTATAATTTTCTAATTTCTAATTCCTAATTCTGTCTTCTGGGAGTGAGACCCAGTGGACTACCTTCCCTCTCTTAGTCACCATCTGACCACACTTCTCTAATCCGAAGTACATCCCGATGTCTGTGCTGTAGATCCGGGTGGTATGGATCCGTGAGCTTGATGTCATCCATGTAAGGGAGGTGACTGATGGTTGCCCCATTCCTGAGTATGTATCTGTAGCCTTGTTGATTATTTGGCTGAGGGGGTTCAGACCTATGCAGAACAACAGTGGGTGCAGCACATCTCCTTGGTATTTGCCACAGTTGATGGAGACTTGTGCAAGTTTCTTGCCATTGGCCTCAAGGGTGATTTTCCACAACCTTATTGAGTTTGTAATGAGTGCTCTTAGAGTCCTGTTGATGCTGTATACCTCCAAGCATTCAATGATCCAAGGGTGTAGCATCGAGTCATAGGCTTTCTTATAATTAAGCCAGGCAGTGCTCAAGTTAGTGTTTTCAGGTTCTGCAATTTCGAACAACTGTTCTGTCTACAAGGAGCTGATGTTTGGCACCTCTGGTATTTTCAGCGATTCCCCTCTGAGCTGTGCTCATGTATTGATCCATGTGCCCGCTTATCTTAGCCGCTATGATCCTAGACATGAGCTTCAATGTTGTGAAGACACAGGTAGCTGAATGGGACTGTAACCCTTGAAGGATCCTTCAGGATCAAGATTGTGCACCCATTGGTTAGCCTTTCAGGGTGGTTTCCATCTCTCAGAAGCTGGTTCATTTGTTCTACCAAGCGTTCATGGAGTGCCCTGAGTTTCTTAAGCCAGTAGGCTTGTATCATGTCGGGGCCTGGCGCTGTCCAGTTTTTCATACCTGAGACATTTCTTGGATGTCTGTCACTGTGATGGTGACTGATTCCTGTTCAGGGAGGATGTTGAGGTCCTCTCTCAGAGCCAAACACAGCCACAACATCTTCAAGCAGGCAAAAATATTAATTTAACAGTCAATAAAACCCAGCGTGGAAGAACTACAGCTAATGTAATGTAGAGACAAATTGGCATTACACCATGGCTGAGAATTTGGTAACAACGAATGTTAAAACGGTAGCAGTCGCTACCTCGACAACAGTTGACAACAGTTTAATGAATGTGGAG